GCGGCATGTGGGATCTTCCCGGGCCAGGGCTTGAACCTATGTCCCTTGCATTGGCAGGCAGATTCTTAACCACTGCGCCACCAGGGACGGGCTGTTTGTTTTCTTATAATTGAGGATTTAAAAAAATTGAGATGTAAGTGACTTTTTTTTAAAGATTTATTTATTTATTTTATTTATTTTTGGCTGCATGGGGCTTAGTTGCAGCATGCGGGATCTTTTCTGAGGCGTGTGGGATCTTTCGTTGTGGTGCATGGGCTTCTCTCTAGTTGTGGTGTTTGAGTTTTCTCTTCTCTAGTTGTGACATGCAGGCCCCAGGGCGTGTGAGCTCTGTCGTTGTGGTGCACAGGTTCCAGAGCATGTGGACTCTGTAGTTTGCCGCACACAGGCTCTCCAGTTGAGGCACGAGAGCTCAGTAGTTGTAGCATGTGGGCTTAGTTGCCCCAGGACATGTGGGATCTTAGTTCCCTGACCAGGGATTGAACCTACATTGTAAGGTAGATTCTTTACCACTGGACCGCAAGGGAAGTCCCGAGATATAACTGACTTTCAAAATTATATTAGTTTCAGGTGTACAGTGTAGTGATTTGATATTTGTATATCCTGTAAAATGGTATAATTGAGTTTTGAAAGTTCTTCATAGTTTCTCTATAAAAGCTCTTTTACAAAGACTGTATTTTGCCTACATTTTCTCCCAGTCTATAGCTTGTCTTTTTATTCTCTTAACAGTATCTAAGGGAATTTTGATGAAGTCCAATTTATCAGTCTTTTCTTTTGTGGATCATTCTTTTGGAGTCGTATCTAAGAAATCTTTGCATAACTAAAGATCACAAATATTTTCTCTTGTTGTTTTTTTTTCCTTCTGTTTTTTGGCTGTGCAGCATGCAGGACTTTAGTTCCCAGACCAAGGATCGAACCTGCACCCCTGAAGTGGGAGCGCTGCATCTTAACCATGGGACCACCAGGGAAGTCCCTCTTTTGTTTTCTTTTAAACATTTTATAGTTTTAGTTTTACATTTCTGCCCCCTGGATATCTCTGTGGCTCCGTGAAGGGGGTCATCTGCACTTGCTGTGCCCATGGCTTTACCCCCTCGCTCCTCCGCTCAGGAGTCTTGTTTCTTTTCCCATCTCCCTGCCCACCGCCTGGAGCCCCTCAATGTAGAGTCCAGGTGCCATCGTACCAGCCCAGCCTGAAGTGTGTGCTGGGCATGTGTGCTGGGCATGTGTGCTGGGCCATAGCTCCTCCCCCATGAGCTTCTATCAACCCTCTGAAGAGCCTTCCGGGGCTGGATAGGAGCCTCCTGCGGCTCGCTGACCTTCCTTCTGCCGTGGATCTGATCAAGGTGTTGAAGTCATAATGACCTGGGTCTGTCTTCTACTCCACTTTTCTACCACTAGAAGTCTCCCTGTCCTCCAGCAGGCCCGTGCCCAGGGCCCAGGTCAGGACCTCGCACAGAGGAGGGGCTCTGGGGAGGTTTGCTGATTGAATGTGTGAGAGAACTCTATCTCTGCTCCTAGCCACAGATGCAGCAACCTGGGCATGAGAGACTTAACTCTCACATTGGAGGTTAGATCCCAGCTCGCCACCTGGGCTATGGGGCCCATGATGCGGCCTTGAGGACTTCTTCGACCTCATCTTTGCCTGTCTCTTGTTTACTGCTGGCCTTTTCATTCCCTGAGCACACCGTACTATTTTCTACCTCGCCCTTGGGAGTGGCTGACCTCTCTTCTGCTCTCTCTGCCAATTCTCTTGTAATTCAGATTGCGGGTTGAAAGCCCCCTCCTTGGAAAGGTTCGCCTTCCCCCAACTGCCCAATCTCAAGGAGCCACTTGGTCACTAGCTACCATCACCAGTTTTGATTGTCTTAGTGGAACATCCTCACCATCTGACAAATTCTTCACTTATTTGTTTGTGGTTCCTAGAACATCACTTCAGGAAGATGCCTGGAACAGTGTCCAGCACTTATGGGGCCTCCATGTTGAATGGTAAACGTTGAATGTTGAGTGATTTACTGGAGTCAGTTAGGGCAGAGCCAGCCTCAGGACCCAGATGTCCAGGTGGCTGGACCAGGCCTCTTCTCCTGCTTGGCCTCACCAACCCTGCCACAGGTCAGCAGTATTCTGATCAGGTCCTCATGCCTGTGGGGGGTCTCGGCTGGTAGCCCTATGGTCCCACCCAGCGATCAGCCCATCACTCTTTTCTCCCCTCCCTGGGGAAGGTGCCACAGCACAGGGTCCTCCAGGGCCCTCACCAGAGCTCAGGAGCCAGTGGGGCAGGAAGAGGTGCTGACCCAGGGACCAGCCCAAATGGCCTAGCTGGACAGGCGCCTAGCCTCACTGCCTCTCGTACAAATGGGACAGAGGTCAAGAGGGGAGAGAGATATTTGAGGTTACACAGAGTCGGCAGCTGTGAGGACCCACTTCTCTCGCTGGCAGTGAAATTCCCCAAATTAAAACCCAGAAAATCAGCAGGTTCCTGTCACCCAGGGGCTTGGACACTTCCTGGCTGGTCCCAGCCTGTCCTTAGGCCCTGCCCACTCAGGACTTGGCTGAAGTGGCCAGACCCAGGGAAAGGAGGAGGGAGGGTAAGAGTGTGCCCCTCCACCCCATGACTCACTTGGGGGAGGTGGCAGTGAGGGGACCAGACAGTGGCATCCCCTTGGCCCAAGGGCGGGTGCTGACTCAGGCAGGCAGTGACGAATGGAGCAGGGTTCTCCTGCCACCATGACTCACCCCTACCCACCCATCTGTTCTCCAGGAGAAACTGTTTTGAGGGTGATTAGTATACGTCCCAGGATGTTACCTTGCTGGGGGACAAGCAGCTTCCCACTCTTGCAGAGGGCAGACTGGGGGCCAGCCTAGTGTCTGCTTTGAGAATGGAGTTTCCTTTTCCACCCCAGCCTGGTCCCGCTGTTGGCAGGGTTGGGTTTCGACCTGTTTGCTGATTCAAGGAAGCATCCAGGACTGGGCTGTCTGCTGGTGTTTGAGGATGAATGATTATGGCCCTGCTGATGAAATGGTACTTGTCATTTATTCTGGGCCAGCTACGGTGCTCAGCATTTTCCACTCACTGTTTCATTTAATCTTCACAAGTAGGTGTAATTATTATACCCATTTTAGAGGTGAGAGAACTGAGACGCCTGAGTAGGTGGAGTGGTTGCTTGAGGTCACCCAGCTCAGAAGCGGCAGGGCTGGGATTGGAATCCTTGTTTTCTCAGGGAGCAGAGTCTAGACTCTTCCCTGATGGGCGCCCTCCTGACACGTTCCCTGTGGAGGGGACTTGGTCTTGCTTTTCTCCTTCCTGGCTCTTCTTTGCCTCCTGATCCCTGGGCTCCCAGGCCCCCTGTATACACCTCTCCTGTAACTGCTGTCCCACCTGTGCTCCCCAGGCAGGCAGTGGGTGCTCATGGAGTGTTTGTGAATAAGTGAGCCTTTTTTCCAAGGAACTCTGAGTCTACCAGAATGTTCTTTCTCTCCTTACCCCCAGGTCTCCCACTGCACCCCTTCAGAGCCAGCAATTGGTGAATAAATGGAGGCAAGAACGTATGAATGAATCATTTCTGTGCCTGAGCCATGGAGAATTTGGAGGTTTGTTCAAACCCGGACTCTCTGTTCTTTCAGCTGGAGGGGCTGGCCGGGAAGGCGATCTCGGCACCTGAGCTGGGCCTCCCCCAGGCCTGTCAGCTCCCTGGCACGTGCACAGGGAGTGGGAATGAGTGAGTGGGTATGGGTGAGTGGGAGTGGGTATGGGCCCCTACTCTAGTAGAACCTGTGCTAGGTGTTTTATTTATATTAACATAAATAGGAATGAGTATGTGAGGGGACCTGGGGCCCACAGGCAATGGGCAACCTGTGCACAGGGACACTGAGACAGGCTGGGCTTCTCCCTGCCAGGGCAGAGGAAAGGGAGAGCTCTGCCAGGGCCTGGGCATCCTGGACTGGGGCCTCTCTCTCCTCGACAGGCTCTGTTGAAGGAAGCGGCCCATGGAGGGGCCAGACATCAAGGGCTCCTGGGACCTTGTGCAGATGTGGGATGTCTGGCCTGAGAGCTTCTAGGCCCAGTTCACACACTTGGGTGGGGAGGGATCGGTGTTGGCCTGTTTGGGGGGTGAGGGGCCTGAGGAAACGCCGGTCCTTTTGATGCCCCAGAAGAGCTGCTTGCCCCCTGCCCCAGCCTGGATGGAGGTGGCATCCCCCAGGCCTGTCACCTCTCCCACACCCAGTGGCAGCCCTCCCCCCACACCCCAGTGGCACTCTTCCATAGCAGTTTCCACAGTTTTATACATGAAAAGGTCACACATGGGGCAAAATCTCAGCTTCCCCACTTACTAGTTTTATGAATTTTGCAGGTAGTCTAACTTGGAGCCCATTTCTCAGTTGTACCATGGAGATAATACCTGTTATCACCAGGTTGTTGTGAGTGTAAAATAAGATTCAACAAATACCTAGCTGACATCTTCAACCCTTGGGCCTTGCGAAGCTGATGTGCATCACTGCTGGGGAGGGGCACCAGGTACCAAGGAAGAGGGAGGAGACGCTGATTTCCTCCCTAGCCCCGGGCTCAGGCAGGCCACGTCAACCCTGAAACAGCTCCAGAATTGCCCAGCCAAGAGAAGGGTCGAGAATCTAAGCACCAGGTTTTTGGATGGAACCTGACCTAGGTAGGCTCTTCTCATCCTTGCCCACTCCTAAGGGTCTAGTGGTCTCTGATGGCCAAATACCAGAAGAGGTGTGTCCTGTTCTCACCACCTGTCAGCAGAGGGAGCGGGGCAGTTCCCAACCTCATGGAACCTGCTTCCGTGTGGAAAAGGCCCTGTGGGAATGGGCACCCGGAAGTGTCCTGGGCCGAGGGGAGAGGTGGTAAAAGGGCCCTGTGACACTGTGCCCACCCAGGGGTCAGGTGAGGATGACTAATCGTTTCGTGAGGTTCACAGGGGCTGGGTCACTCCAACTCTCCCCATCCCAAAAGGGGCCCCAGAAACAAAACAAGCAGGGAGCAAGCAGAAGGTTATTATATATCATGCTTTTAATACAAACTTAAAAAAATCTGGAACAATATAAACTGTACAGATTTGATCAATCTTTTTGTTTTGTTTTTAAACTAAATCTCTAAACACACCAATGTTCCATTCCAAAATATTGCACAACATTCTGAATACAAAACACTTGATTGTATTCCTCCTTCACTAAAGAAAACAAATTCATTACCCTGCTCCCGCGAGCTCCTCTCCATGTTGCCTCAGTGCCCCCCTTCCCATCCCCAGGGGTCAAACTAGAGAATCTACAGCTCACTGCACTGAGAAAAAGACATCATTCTGGACTGAAAGTTTACTTCCTTTACAAGACGATCCACCTTTTGACTTGTTCCTGGGAAAGGGGGGTAGACAGAGAGAGGATGGGGAAAGGGGAGAAATAGGTTTTATTCTCCTCTTTTTTTATTTTAAAGTTTGTTTTTCCTGAAAAAATATCTTTCTCTCCTCTTAAGAAAAAATCTTGAAAAGAAAAAAATTACCTTTACGTTAGAAATATACATATATTATATATACCTCTTACATTTTACAAATGTAGCAAATTATTCAATACAAACGGACACCAAAAAATGTAAAAAATAAAAAAAAAAAGTTTTCCTATGAAACCAGGTAAATTAGTGCAGATTTTTGTTTTGTTTTCTTAAAAAAAAAAAATAAAGTTGAAGCAAAAATGCCTAGATTTGAGACAGACTGAGGTGGGCCCAAGAGCCCAGCACAGGAGTCATGCTCCTGATCACACATTTTTCTTCGTATTTCAAAAGACACTAAGGGGTTGGTCTCCCCCTCCCTGTATGTGGTGAGGAACAAGCCGCCCAGGGTGTGGTGGGTGCCTGTGTGCATGAGTGGGGGAAGAGGGGCTGGAAGGGGGCATAAGGCAGCATCCAACCTTTCCCAGAGAGCAGCCTGGGCCTGTCACCTGTGCGGGAGCTGAGGGCTCGGGAGAGGGTGGCCCAGACGGGGCTGGCCCCTGAGAAGTCTAGGGGGGACAGACGGTGCCGGGCCAAGGAGCCAGGGCACTGCCCCGCGCGGGGAGGTAGAGCTGGTGCCCACTGCAGGGAGAGGAGGCTGGCAGTGTCCGTCTGGGCCGGATCCGCTGCCACAGCAGTTGCCAACTTGGGGTCACTGGGGAGGAGAGGGTGGGGTGCCAAAGGCTTTGGTGATGGGGGCCCTGATGCTACGTGCCCACTTGCCAAAGCGTCATGGCGTGGAAGCTAGCCCACTAGGGTTGGGTCAAGGTAAATTCTCTCCAGCAGAGGTGGGGAGGGCTCTTCAAGAATCCAGACACAGCGCCTGCCGTGGCCAAGCGCCTGTCCAGCCCAGCCTGCTCGAGATCAGCATTGGGCCCAGTGGGCCTGGGTCAGACAGTGAGGGGATGGCAAGAGGTACCAAGAGGTTCTCAAGCAGGCAGGGGAAGAAATGTATTAAAGCGACATCTACAGCCAAAAGACCAAAGTCTCAATTCAAGGCTTTGGACTGCCCACTACAGGCACTGACCCAAAACTCCCACCCCCCAGGGCGCTCAGGTAAGCGTTTCCCACCCTGGGCTAAGGTCACACAATAGGAGGGTCCGAGTCCAGGGACTTCTCTTAGGTATCAGAGGCTGGGCATTCCCTCAGCCCCTCACTGCTAACCTTTTTTTTTTTTTTTTTTTTGGTCAAAAACAAAAGTGCAGATCCCTCCGCAGTCTGGAAACCAGTTCCTTCTGCAGTGCTTTCCTCTGGAAGCGTCAGGCTCAGCCAGTCTGGCGCCACCACGTGAAGCACCCCACAAAAGGACTGACAACCCACCCCCAGTGCATTCCCCACCCTCACACATAAACACTTGCTGCGACCCAGAATCACACCCAGAGGGGAAGTTTCACATGGCTCGGAATCCTTTAAAACAGGAGAGCAAATCACGCACGCACGCATGCACACGCACACCTACACTCACCCCACCTCCCTACCCAAGAACTCAGGCCCAGGAAAGAAGGGGCTACATGAGAGAGGCCACATGTGCCAATGGCTGGGTCTCCAGGGCCTCGGTGATGGTCTGGGCCAGGTGGGAATGGTGGCATGGGGCCACAGGACAGAGATGAAAGGGACACCAGACAGAGTGCTAACCTCCCTGGAGTCACAGACTTCAGCTCTAGGGGGAGGGTGTCAAGTGGCCAGCTGGCAGCTCCCTAGGGCCCAGGCCTGAGAGGAAGCGGGGGCTGGAGTCAGACCTATCTGGGTGGCAGGGCCCGAGCGGGCCTGCTGAGGTTGGATGGCTCTGAGTGAGAGGACAGCTGGGTGATGAAGACAGTGACACGGGGCAGTCTCTCCCTGTTCTGAGGAGGGCCAGGCCCCAGCCACTGTCTTCCTTCCCTGTGAGCTGGGACACACCAACCCTAAACCAGGCATGCGAAGGAGGGAGGGAGGGAGAGAGGGAGAGAGGGAGGGAGGGAGGGAGCAGGGAGCAGCAATTCACATCTGGACCATTCTTAGCACAGGAAGCCACTAATTAAAGATGTTATATAGAAAACTACATGTAAAAAAGAAAAAAAGAAAAAGAAATATAAAACCCAAACCAACCGAATAAATCGGAGGCAGGCAGGAGAGCAGCAGGGGGCTGAGCTAAACACTGTTCAGTGCTTCAGGGGCCCCTCCCACTCCATGCCCGGGCTGGGTCATGTTTCTAGAAGTTAGAGTGAGAAGACTGGAAATCTTTTTGTGTATTTTTCTTTTCCTCTTTTTTTTGGCCTTTCCTTTCCTTTCTCTTTTCTGTGGTCTTGGGTGCTCCTGGCCCCGTGGGCAGGTGGGCAGTCAGTTGGCCAGCACGACAGGCTGAAACGGCTGGCTGGGATACTGCATGGTGTTCAGGTTGTAGCTGAGGCCTTCCACGAAGGGCGCCTTCTCCAAGAAGAGGCTGTTGGCGCCACCTCCAAACACCTGGGCCATGTCGAAGCTGCTGCTGTTGCAGGTGCCAGCCCCACCGCCCCCGAAGGGGGCCGGGGTGCCACTGCCCTGGCCATCGGCCCCATCACAGAAGAGGCTGGGAGAGCCACCACCGTTGTACACGAATTCCTTGGCATTGGGTGAGAGCTGGGACTGAGGGGCTGGGTTGGTGGCGATGAAGTTCAGTGAATGCAGAGACAGAGAGAGGCTCTTCTGCTTCAGCAGGCTGTTGGTGGGAGAGCGGGCCATGCGGGGCTGCTGCTGGGGGATCGGCTGGCCACTTGCCCCGCCCCCCGCCCCCCCACCCGCTGCCCCGCCCCCCTTCTTCATCTTGGTGGAGCCAAACTTGGTGGCTGCGAAGGAGGCGGTGGTAAAAGTGATGGGCTGAGCGGAGCGGGGCATGAAGGTGGGGCTGGGCGACTGGCCAAAGGACGGTGACGGGGAGTTGGACAGGGAGCTGTCCTGGCTGCCGATGGGCACAAACACCTGGGCATCGGGATTGAAGCTGCTCTTGATCTCCTTGTCCAGCTCTGGGGCAACACAGCCCTCGCTGTCATCCAGGTAGAGCACTTTCACAGCCCCCTTCTCACCAATCTGGTAGGACACCTCGAAAGGGTCGATCCAGACACTCAGCTCCTCGGGCACGTTGGCCCGCACATCCTCCACCGCCAGCCCACTCCGCTTGGCGGCCAGCTCCACCACGGGGTCCACTATCTCCCCGATGTGGACACAGCGGAAGCCAGAGCCCTTCAGTGGCTTGTCAGGGTACCAGTGGCCTTCATATTTCTTTTTCAAGAGTCGCTCTAGCTCCTCACCGAACAGGTCTGCCCGGCGCCGGGGCAGCTTGTTGTACAGGTAGGAGATGATGAAGTTCAGGGCCACTTTGATCTCCAGCTGCATCGTCCTTTCCTAGGCAGAGAATCAGCACAGGCACGTGCACAAGCCAAGGACAGTGGTAGGAAATGTAAGGTGGGCAGCCTTGGGCTCTAGACAACGCTGAAAAATGAGAAAGAAAGGCTTCATGAGTAAATATGCAGAAAGCCAGTGGGCATCAGACAGAAAAGCACCAACTTTGGATCACATAGCCTCAGGGTCCCATTTCTGCTGCACTAGTGACAGGTTTATATGTGTGACTGTGGGCAAGTCCCTTTTTTCTGAGCCTTAGTTTCATCAGTAACATGATATTTTAGTCGGCACTTGATAAATATTTTTAAGTACTTCTAAAGAAACAGGGGTACTGTGGTTTCCACTATTTTGAGAATTCAGGTCACTTTATGAGTGACACCAAAAAAATCGAGCTCCTAAATCAGATGGAGAAGGGAAGGCTCTTGCTAACTTGTCTCTGCAATATCTCGGTGAAGTCCCACTCCCAAACTGTCACAGGCCAAGACAGGAGTTTAAAATCTTTAGTTTCAACCCCTTAAATGGAAAGGGATACAGGTCACTGAACAGGAAGCAGCACTGCCAACTTTTCACGGGAGGCCAGGACTCCAATCGCATCCAATTTGTTATCCTGAGTTCCCTGGGTGTGCGTGTGCTCTGGCTCACTCTGGGTTTGCAGAGCTGATTCTTTTGCAGAACAGTGTAACCAAGGCGAGCATTTCCATCCAGACAGCCTCCAAGAATGGAGACTGGGGCATGATCCCCAGGAAAAAGTCAAGACCTATCACAATCAGAGGCATGGACCAACAAGGAAACTACTGACTAGGGGCTGCCCTAGGGAAGCAGAGGAAAGGAGAGGGAAGTGGGCCCTGTAGGCCAACAAAGCCTTAAGAGCAGTACCAGTGTGGCCTGAGGGAAATCTCTATAGTTTCTGGCTAGAGTGTAGGTGATGAGGTGGGCAGAGAGAAGAAATTTTCCATCACCCTACAGCCTCCAGCTGGGGACCCATCATCACTCTGTCTCCCAGGGACTGTCTGACCACCTGTCCTTGGCACCAGACCAGATTCATCACGTGTTTGGAGATCCCTGGAGAGGAGGCAGTCCAACATAAACACTCAGCTTGTTATTTTGGGATTCTCTCACAGCCAGATCCACAGAGGTCAAAAAGGTTTATTCCTGAGGTCTGGGCCAGCCTCATTTCTCAGGAAGATGATCTGTGAGGTCCTGAGAGCCAGTGATCCTAATTGCCTCACCTTCTCCAAAAGGGCAGATCCAGGTTCATGCCATAGGAGAACTGAACTGAAAAGGGCCATCTTTGAGGGCCGACAGAGCCAGAAAATGTTCCTAACCAGAACTCTGGGTGAGAATGTGCTGCTGAGCTCAGCACAGAGACAAGACTGATCCACTATCCGTCAAGGGCATCTTTTGTCCCTGGAGCTGGATTTCAATTAAAATCCCTTCTGGGTCCAGCACACAGTATCCAGGTGCTAATTCTAGGCTTGAGGATCTTGAGCTTTCGGAACACCTGACCCAACTGGCTACGGCCTGGGACCATGGCTCCCCAGGGCGTTTTAAGGACGGAACCCTCAGGCAAAGCTCTCCGGGGTGAGTATCAGAGAAAACGCACTGGGTTAATGTGGAGTATCTGATGACGACAGCCATGTCTAGCCCCTCCCTCACTTCAGGTCTGAGTAGACAAAGGGTCACGTGGGGCACCAAAAGAAGTGCCACGAGCATGGCCTCTCCTGAGCCCTCCACAGGGAGGCTCAGGATTCAGGTGACTCTTTTCTCCCCATCTATCCCAGCCTCCAATACAGACAATCTCCATGTGTGTTCAGATGTCTATTCCTGGTCGCCAAAGATCAATTCCAGGGTCCTTCTAGGTTTAAAGAGAAGGAGAATGATAAAGATAAGGAGCTTTCTGTTTACGAGGATTGGATTCATCACCAGATGCAAAGATAGCTACCAGGACCATGGGCCTCCCCTGAAGAACAAAGGCCTGTAAGGGCCACAGTGGCCCACTAGACGTGTCCAACACACATGAGACTAAAAAGTTGTAAAGAAAGTTGGCACTGGTTCCCAAGAATGGGCCTGGAGTTAAAGACAGTGTCTTCAAAGTATTTTTGAAAAGTAAAACTTGAACATGACATATGACCCTTCTCCCAAGGAACCACATGGCCTCTTGGCATGCCACGTGGTCCAAAGGGCTCCTGCACCCTGCTATGCCTTCTCAAACTCTGCTGCGTAACTGCCTTCTAAATTACCTCCCCTGAACAGTTCGGCCTCAAAATGGGAGCATTTTAAATGCAGGCCAAAGTCATTGGGAAATAAGCCTCCTACCCCAAAATACAATAGAATCACTGTCATCAGCCCTGCCCAGCTAACCATTTTCTGCAGCATTAGCAACTAAAGCTGCACGCCAGGGGCTTCCCTGGTGGCGCAGTGGTTGAGAATCCGCCTGCCAATGCACGGGATACGGGTTCGAGTCCTGGTCCGGGAAGATCCCACATGCTGCAGAGCAACTAAGCCTGTGCGCCACAACTATCGAGCCTGCGGCTCTAGAGCCCACGAGCCTCAAATACTGAGCCCACGTGCCACAACTACTGAAGCCCGTGAGCCTAGAGCCCATGCTCCACGAGAGAAGCCACCGCAATGAGAAGCCCGGGCACTGCAACGAAGAGTAGCCCCCGCTCGCCGCAACTCGAGAAAGCCTGCGCACAGCAATGAAGACCCAACGCAGCCAAAATTAAATAAGTAATAAATAAATAAATTTATTAAAAAAAAAAAGCGGCACACCAATTTATACCTCAGTGATGCTGCTGCACAAATCAGAAGTAGATAATGCCACCTTCGCTTCTTCAACTCGAGAACAGGCCAGGCCAGATGGCTGTGGGGTGGAACCTTACAAAAACGACGGACAACCAGAATGAGATTTTCTGCTCTAGCAGCTCAAGCTCTAATTTTGACTTCAAGAAGCTTACGGAACAGAGGATTAAAGCACTGGTGCTGTCTTTAACTAAAGGTAGGAGTGACCACTCACATCAGTTTGTTCATTTTTTTAAGGCTATTGGACAAATTCTAGAGCTTATATATTAAATATTCATACAATGTGGTAAAATTAGCTTAAAAATAACCACCCTTCAATAAAAGGAACAAGTAGATTCAAGTCAAGCCGCAGGAGAGGACTCAAAGACTTTCTCCAACCCTGACTCAGGCACAAAAGGCCAGAAATGTGGCAAAAAGAAAAAAAAAGGCTAAGTGCTTAACAACAGCAAAATCTACCTTTTGTCAACATATTAAAAAGTTGCAAATATGAGAGTAAAATTCTGTCCCCTTTTATTTAGAATCTTATCCTCCTTCATTTGCTTTAATTCCAGCAACAAAGTTCATCCTGGATTCAGATCCCTGTGTTGAGTTTTAAAGGAGTAAGTGCTCAAGAGAATGTCAAAAAAGGGGGAAGAGGGCTTCCGTGGTGGCGCAGTGGTCGAGAGTCCGCCTGCCGATGTAGGGGACGCGGGTTAGTGCCCCGGTCCGGGAAGATCCCACATACTGCGGAGCGGCATGGGCCCGTGAGCCATAGCCGCTGAGCCTGCGCGTCCGGAGCCTGTGCTCCGCAACGGGAGAGGCCACCAACAATGAGAGGCCCGCGTACGGGGGAGGGGAGAAAGAAGCTGAAAGGAGGCTGCAAGTCAACGATATGGTAAATGGAGACGCCAGAGAACTTCTGACAAAAACTCGAAGGACAGTTTTTAGGAAGAAAAAGTTGTTTTAAAGGGGAAAAGGAGGGATAGTGAGGGAACCCACTGGGCCCCCAAACCCTGAGCACCTGTAAAATATTCAGGCACCTCAAGCCTTAACATCCAAATCATAGGACAATCAAGCACTACCAGATTCAAATGAGTGTGGAAAGAGGACTCAGGGTCCTCAATTTTGACAAGGCCAGTAGGTGTCACAGACCGGGTGCTGGGCAGTGGGAGCCCGGCTCTGGCGGGACAGGGGGTGGCCCCACCACACTGGTCTCGGTGGCAGACGGGTGGGTGTGGTTGAAAGGCTACCAGGACTTGTGCCAACTGACTGCACCCCCCCCAGTGTCCCACACCATCTCCCCAAAACATGGACTGTGCAAGCCCAAGTCTGACTACGAGACTCCTTCCGACTAAGAGGGCCCTTTTGGGAATTCCCTGGCAGTCCAGTGGTTAGGACTCCATGCTCTGACTGCCGACGTCCTGGGTTCCATCCCCAGTTGGGAACTAAGATCCTACAAAACCCCGCTGGGCGGCCAAAAAAAAAAAAAGGGGGCCCTTTCCAGGCCTCTCCAGGTTCCTCTGAAGCCAGGAAGACTTGACTGAACCCCAACATACACGGGGAGGTCCGGGGCAAAGGTGCACTCTGCGCTCTGGGAATTGTAGTCTTCAGAAACCTCACGCTCAGGTTGGAGCAAACGACCTACTTTCTCTGCACACTACACTTCCCTGCGTACTTTGCGAAGACTCAGCCGGGGAACTACGCATGCCCAGTAAGGGGAGCTGGAGGAGGGTGGGAGAACCGAGGAAAAGTTTCCGATGCACATGCGCGTTGTGGCAGACTGGCGCCCCCCCCCCTCCCCCGCCCACCGCCTAATACATTTTATATAAATTCTACCCATAAGGCCTACTCCCCGTATTGTGTCGCCCACCATATCCATGTCTCGGCTTCCCGAAAAACTGAACTTTTCTTTCTTCCTCTCTCTTCACTGCCTCGCAAGACCGTTGAATTAACAGCTTCTAATGAGTTTTTTCTGGGTGAAGGCGGTAGGCCGGGATAGATAGGAGTCACATCCCTCCCTCTCCCCAAACCCCTGCCACTTAATCTGTATTCCTTGGGCTGGGTGGTTTCCCTTTGGAGTTGCTGTAGGGACGGCGGATTCAAAGAGAAAGAGCCTTTTCACTTAACGCCCAGCGGGCTCCGCTGTAGCACCTCACAACCAGGAATGGAACGGCAGGAATAAACCCAGTTCTCCCGTCTTCTCGGCCAAAGAAATTCCCAGTTTTAAGCTGCGGGGAGGCGCCGGGCGGACAATCAGAAGGCCCGACGCCAGCAGGGCCCAAGCCTCACCCCTCTTCTAATCCAAGTCCGAGTAACCAGACCCGGCTAGGTAATGGGAAAGAGTTCCCAGGCAGGGAAGAAAAAACTGTACATCTGACAACATTTTCTAATACTTAAAAATTGTTTGTGAGTCTCCTTCCGCTGCAAGGCCTGCTCTATTGACCAGACTTACCAGATCCTCGGCAAAGCTTCTCTGCAGGGTGTTAAACCTCCCTAATCCTTCCTCCCACACAAGCTTCTCTCCCCCTCCGCTTAAGAGGGGGATGGGGGCAGGCACCCAAGAAAGCAATAGGGATGTTTTTCTGCGGTTAAATCAAAGATGAGGGACCCACTCCCACGGTAGGGTGGGCAGGAAGAAGAAAAGAAAGGTTAGATACTGAGCAGACACCAGGGACCCCCCTCGGCTAGCCCACGAGTTGACGCCTACTGTGTGGGGTTCTGGTTCCTCTAGGGGGTGGGAAAGGGCTGCCAGCTGCCCCTCCTCTCTCTGTTCCCTCCTCCTCCCCCTCCCTTTCTGGTCAAGGGCACAGTCCATCCTCTGGACAGGAGCTTAGGAGTAAGGCTCTTCCTCCCAGGCACCTCACCAGGGTCAACCTGAATCCACTCACTGATACTGCTGTAAGGGTACTTTTTTCCGCCCAGTTTCCCCTTAAAACACTAACGTGGATAAAGAGCTAAAGCCAAATGGTAAATTCTGGCTCGGCGGCCAGAGGACAGTCACCACTGACCGGTCCAAAAGGGGGGTGTCCACCCTCCATCCCTCAGGCTCCACAGGGCCAAAAATAAGCCCTATTAATTATTACCACCCTCCTACCCCGCACACGGGAAAAGCAGAAAAACAAGGCCTGGATCCCCTTCCTTCTTCTGATTTTATTTAATGGTGGTGGGAGTTATGTTTTCGCGGGGAACGAGGAAAATCTAGCGACTCTCTAGGATATGAAGAACGGAGGGAAAAGGGAGGAAATGCACCGCACCCAGGAGGTGGCCACACTTGGAACAGGGAGAGAAAGGGGCTCTGGGATACCCCAGGATGAGAGCAAACGTGAGGGAAAGAAGAGCACGGGGAAAAGGTGGGGTCCAGTGAGGAGGCGGAAGGGGAACGGAAAATGTTGGCCAGGTGTAAGAGGGGGGGCGACAGCAACGTGGAGAGTCCACCAAAGCGGAGAGCGGGAGTGGGGCGGGGGTAGGGGAAGGCGTCGGGCCTGTTGGGTCTCGGGGGAGCCCCCCCGCCCGCACGCCCCCCACTCACTCACTCGGGTCTCCGCGGCGGCGGGGCGGTGTGCCGGCCGCGGGGCGGCTTCTTCCTCCAGGGTGGTCCTGGGCGCGGGGCGGAGGTTGCTCTCCCTTCCCGGGAGCCGATGTGTCCTTTTCTTCGTTGAGGATGGGGGAGCGAGTGAGGGGAGTATGGGCTATGATCTCAATAATAATTCTTTCAGCTTTTTGGAGGTCGGGCTCAGCGGCGGGGGACAGAGGGCGGGCGGGCCGGCCAGCGGCGACGGCGCGAGGCTGGAGGACCGGAGGGTTGCTTGTGTCGCGGGACGGAAGACGGTCCCGGCTGTGGCCGGCGGACGGTCTTGCCCTTCTGGCCCCGCGTCGCCCAAGCCACTCGGTTCTCCCCGCCGACGACCCGCTCCTTCCCGCGCCCCTGCCCGAAGTGAGCAAAGTCAATGAAAAGTTTCACCCTTAGCAACCCTGCGCACGGATCCGGCTTTCCCACCCCTGCGTGATGCGTCCCTCCGCCCTGCAGGGGCGGGGCCGAGCGCCGGGCCGGGACTACTTCCCAGCCGGCTGACTGGAACTCTGTAAAGGTTTCAAACATATATCAACGCGGCTTAGCCCGAATATTCCGAGCTCCTGGTGCTTCGTCGGGGGACGCGTAACGTCGAGGGAAGGGCGAGGGGGAAACCTGGGCCCGGGCAGAGCGGGAGGAAGAGGGGGCGAGGAGAGGCTGAACGGCCAGGAAAAGGAGCTGAGCGACACATTAACCTTCCGCTTGCCACCTCTGGCGCCCGTTAACCTCGCGGCGCGGACAGGGCCAGCGCCGGTTCCGCTCAGGCGCGCGAGCTGTGCCCTGCCCGCTCCGGGCGGGGCTCAGCTCCTCTGCGGACGCACCCGTAGTTTCTCCCAGGTCGGCGCCCCCCCCAAGGGGCACCAGAGCCACATGTCTTCTAGTAACAGCCCCCGCCGTTGGGGGTGGCGCCTGCCCGTGCCAGAGCCGCCGCGCTTGCGCACCCGACGGTCCCTCGGGCGGCTGACCCAGGTTCGCCGAACCCGGCACCCTCGCGCGCTCGGCACCCCTGGCCCGGGCTATGGTCACGTGGGCCACTCGGCTAGTTTGTGACTGTGCGGGGCGCGGAGTTGGGGATAGGGAGGCCTGTGCCCAGTGAGGTCATAGGCGGACTGGACTGCCAGGTGGTAAAGCCCGGGGCCGCTGGGAGCTTGCGCTTGAAGTCTTCCCATCCCTTCTTCAATCGCCCATTCCCCAACTCTCCCCACCCCCGGTCTTTATTTTCATTCCAGACGGTTCCAGCCCAACAGCCGCCAAACCCACGTGGGATGGCGAGATGCGAAAGTTTCCAGCTACGAACGGTTTGCAGTTTTTTTTTTTTTTCCCTTGATCACTTTTTTTGGCAGGGGCAGAGAGCAACGGTAGCGTGCGGGTTTAAATGCGCTTTCTTTGACTGCTGTAGAGAAACGCTGGACTGGAGGGCAAACTCCAAGGGGACAAAAAAGGGGAGGGAGCCTGAGCCCGAGAGCTCCCATCCCCCACACTCTGAGCGCTTCAGCCCCTGGGGCACCTCAAGGGACTACTTGCTTGTGCGTCAGCGAGTTCCAGAGCGTCACACACACGCCTCCTCCGCCTAGCCCCACTCCGCCCCTCCCCTTCTTTTTCCTCCTTTACCTCGTTCTCCTCCCCTCCCCTCCCCTCCCCCCCCCTCCCCTCCCCTAGCGTCGCGAGTTCCAACCGGGCAGCGAGACCCGGCCGACTCAGGGTGCCAGAGTACTGGAGAGCTAAAAATATAACCGGTACGTTAGCAACAGCCTTCCCATTGGTGGGGAAGAGGGAGCGGCAGCATCTGATTGGGTGTTCGATCCAACCTCTAGGACGGGGAAGTGGGGGCCGAGAGCCAAGGAGCCTGGCCCTAGGGGAGAGTACGTCTGCGCATTGGGGCATTGTAAGGGATGCTGGTATTTGTAGTCATTTAGTAGAGGCAGCTGTGGAAATAGGTGGGTTTGAATCCCAGTTCCAGCACCAACTGTTTTATCTTGATTTAATGGCAACAAATCTCTTTACATCATCAAACCTGTTTTCTCATCCTTAAAATGGAGATCGTGCGGGGATTAAATATGATACTGTATGTAAAGCCTGTCTCAAATAGGTACTATCCTTAATTTAAAGGTCACCGTTCTGGCCAAATTGCATCCTACTGGGAAACCTTACAAGACAGGATGAGAAAGGTGAGAGTGAGTTGAAACGAATTCTTCTAGGGTATCACAGGAAGGAGGGATGGAGTCCATATAAGTAGATAAAGGGTATACATTTCCTACCGTTCACTGCAGGTTGTGGGAGAGCGGAGTGAATCCCTGGAAGGAAGGTGTTGAATTTTTGCGCGTTTCTGTATTTATTCGAATCTCCTCTGCAGTGCTGAAAACACACCAGCCTTGAGGAATATCACTGAAACAAAACTGAGAAATCCAGCTTCCTTGGTAAATGGGATCCCTGGGTAAAGGGTTAGCATATAAATAGGAAAAAATAAAATAGAGGGGAAAAAGGCAATCACCATTCTTAACTGCTGATGTCTCCATTTATCATTGTGAGGAGGACGTTTTTTCTCTCCCCAACGTGTGATTTCATCTTGCCAGGGCTTAATTGTGAGCTGAATTCCTACTCAAGCATTCCAGAGTCCCCTCCCATTTGGAATTATCATACGTTGACAGGCATACGCTTTGTTATCAAAATGGTGAGCTTCAGGAGTAAGCGTGTGCTTGGGGAGAGGGTGGAGGCAGCTCCCCTGTCTGAGAGTAAGCAAGTTATGCCAGATGTTTTGTTGTGACAAGTCAGGCTAGTCATAATTAGCCCCAGTTAACTCTCAGGGGTGAGTCACACTCTCATATACACATGTTGGGGTGAGAAATTTTGTAATTTCTTTTAAGTTATCCAAGAAAATAGCTCCTCAGTTTGATTCTTCAGATCCACTCCTCCAACTGGGCAGGAGCAAAGACAGCCACAACAGCAATTAGCTTTGGAGAAGAGTGATTGGATGGATGCCAAGGGCAAATGATTTGCTATGTACTGACCTGATGTGAGTGAATTCTAGTAAACAAGGTAAGTGAACGAACCTGTCTTTGGCTAAGACTAAAACTGCCGTGTTCAAAGAAAGTATCATTGTAGCCTTGGTGGTGGCAGAGAGGCCACTTGGGGATAGAGTTGATAAGGAACTGAATAACTGGGAAAAGATGGGAACTGGAGTCCTTTTCTTTTTTTTAAGGCAGGAAAATTCCAACCAAGGCAAAGAATCTTTCACCTTTATGTCCTTGCTTCAAACTATAAAGAGCTACAGGTCAAAATATAGTGACATACAATCTCTTGGAAATTTAGTCAGTTGAATTTGATTCCCTGGGAAGTTAATTTTCTTAATTTAGAAGCTGCTAATTGGCAGGCCAAGGTCCACATCTGGTGGATGTATTGCCTTGGCATATACTGACACATTAAAATTTCAAAAATGAGTTGACAGGGACTTCCCTGGTGGTCCAGTGGTTAAGACTTCACCTTTCAATGCAGGGTGTGTGTGTTCTATCCCTGGTGGGGGAGCTAAGATCCCACAAGGCTCGGGGCCAAAAAACCAAAACATAAAAAAAAACCCAGAAGCAATATTGTAACAAGTTCAATAAAGACTTTAAAAATGGTACCCATCCAGGGCTTCCCTGGTAGCGCAGTGGTTGAGAGTCCGCCTGCCGATGCAGGGGACACGGGTTCGTGCCCCGGTCCGGGAAGATCCCACATGCCGCGGCTAGGCCCGTGAGCCATGGCCGCTGAGCCTGCGCGTCCGGCGCCTGGGCTCAGCAGCGGGAGAGACCACAACAGTGAGAGGCCCGCGTACCGCAAAAAAAAAAAAAAATGGTACCCATCCAAAAAAAAAAAAAATTGACAACACTTAAAAATTGGGAGATTGCACAAAAGTATCTTAATTTGCCACTTGTCCTGAATTCAAAAGATCTGTTAACACTGGGTATTCAAGCTGGCAATTGTCTGGACTTGAACAGCAACTGTCTTCTTTAGACAGGGCCTGTGCTCTCTGGTTCCAAGGTCCCTACCACTCCCTATTGTCCCACAGACACTGAGGCCCAGTGCCACATACCGTTGATCATCATGCTTTTTTTTTTTTCTTGGCAGCAATGCTTGGCATGCGGGATCTTAGTTCCCTAACCAGGGGTGGAACCCATGACCCCTGCAATGGAAGGGCAGAGTCTTAACCACTGGGCCACCAGGGAAATCCCACGCCTCCCTTTTAATCACTTATATTACTCACCCAGACTCCTGAATTTGTGACCCCTTTTTCTGTTTTTTTTTTTAGAGCAGAATAAATTGAAAATACTGTACACACAGTAAATGTTTCATGAAATTTTTCTGTTATACATATGTATTAGGCATGAGAGACTGTTGTGGGGTATGGTGCATCTGGAAGCATTCATGAGATGTTAGGAGCTTAGAAGGAAAAGGTACAGACTTGGCTGGATGATGTGACGGTGGTGGAGTGGTATTTCAAACAAAGGAAATAGAGAGCCAAGAAGATGGGCTGTGTGTGAGGAATCCCCTTCAGCTGCCTAATCAACAGCAGAGAATGAATAGAGGAAAACCTGAGGGGTAGGGAAGAGAGGGAACCATATGGAGGATCTTCAGTGCTAGAACTTAAATGTTTATCTATGAAGTAAAGGCTCACTGTAAAAGAGCTACCATTTATGATGTAAAGCCTTCCCAGTAAGGGTCAGGCACTTACGAGGTCACATTTAATTCTTACAACCCAAAGAGGGAGGCATTAATATCCTTATTTAATAGATGAGAAAAAAAAAAAAGCACCGAAAACCTCACTAAAGGTCAATAGCAGATTACAATTCAAATACAGGACCGAAAATAAAGCCCACACATTTCTCTTTATACTTTTTTTTTTTTTTTGGAGCAAGAGCACATGAAAAGTGCAATGTTTAAAGGAGATTAAATTACCATATGTGTACAGAGTATATCTGAGAAGCTGGAAGACACTCATCCTTTTTAGATCCTAGAAATGAATGTATCAAACCCTGAATACTTAATAGTAATAATCATAAACCCAGGAAATGGAACCACTTTCTTAGACAGACTATGATGAGTTCAGTTATTTCAACTAGACCTGTGTAGGTAGTGCTTATTTCAACAATGGAGAAAAGCAATAATTTTTAAGCCCATTCTGATTTTTTGTGGCCATACACAGTTGGCTGAGATCATTCTAATTCTTTTCACAGAACTATATACTATTCGAGGTTAAAATTCAGCTTGTAAGCAATGTTTTCCCAATAGAGAATTCAGTATTATCATTATTCTAATTTTTAAAACTGAAAAGGACTTATTCTAAAGTCCAAGGTAGACGATAACTAAGGATTTGAACTTGAATGCTGTTTATCTAAGAAGTTTTTAAATTATTCGTTGTATTGTATCATTCTCTTGGCCTCAGAGAGCAAACAAATGGAGAATGGGATTATAAAATTAGGTGACAGAGGAACGGAGTTCAGCAGAATTCACCAGACTGAGGTTGAACTTGTCCTGTTGTTGATCAGTGTGGAAATCCTACTGGACATTAAATTTTAAGCTCCCTTGCAAGAACTTTTAGAGGCATACGCACTAAGACTCACAGAGCACAGTTAAGGTGGTGTTTTGCTGAAAGTAAGGAGTAGCTTTTCAAACATCTGGAGATGCAAGATGTTATGTAGACCAAGGTGGTTAATAAACAAATGTTTCTTTTGGCGGCGGGACCACACCATGCGGCATGTGGGATCTTAGTTCAGCCACCAGGGATTGAACCTGTGCCCCCTGCATTGGAAGCACAGAGTCTGAACCACTGCCAGGGAAGTCCCAATAAACAAATTTTAGAAACTGATTTGTTCAGCAAAACAAAACATTTTGACTTATATTACACATTAAAACTAAAGTTACTATAGAATCAAATGACAGATTCTAGTTATAATCTGAAAATTATCTGGTTTCTACAACTCGTTTGATATACCATAACCCTCACCTGATGCTTTAGAACTGCTCAGAGCTCCCCAAACGTATCACCCCATTCAAACTGTTTCTCCCACACAAATATCTTTATCTGCAGACCCTACCCCCTTTGCCTGTAGGTTCCAACATGGCCTTCAAAGCCCAGTTTATTATCTGATTTCTATGACTTCAGTTATTCATTCAATACTGAGAAACTGCTACCTGCTGGGCAGAACAGACTTGCCTCCTGCCATCATGGAACACAGCCTAGTAGATGACAGTCAATATTACCAAATGCTATAAACAAAATGCTTATGGTGCTATGTGGGAGTATAACAAGAGGAACTTAGATTGGGGTTTGGATGAGGCATCTTTTAGGAAATACTTAGCTAAGGTCTGAAGGATGAGTAGGAGTTAGCTGAGCAGAAGGGAAGCAGAGCTTTAGAGGTAAAAAACAGGTAAAAAGCACTGCGGCAGGAGGGAAAACGGCAGTTTGAGGAACTGAAAGGAGCCCTCATGGCAGCCCTATGGCTGTGGCCTTCCCCTAGCCTTCCCAAGGTACCCCATGCGAGGCCCAGAACCCTTCCTTTGTGTGTCCCCTGTGTTACACTGAGCTATTTCTGGCAAGCTCAATTATTAAATTCCTTAAAGGCAGAGATTATCTTAATTCTATTTTGGACACTCAATACATTACAAATAACCAAGTTTTATTGATCCAAGATAAAACCCTGATAGGAAATCAGAAGGCTCTCATCTCAACTTGGACCTGCCACTGAGTTGCAGGGTAACACTGGGCCAGGCCCCTAGAATCTGCAGGACGCACAACCTTTTTCAAATTCATGGTGTCAAAGACCTTCTTGACTGGAAGTCTCCAATTATGAATGTGGCTCCTCAGGTTAACTTGCTTATTGCCTCTAGCAGACAAAAAGTACAGGTAGTTGAGTTAGGGTAAAGGATGCGTCTGAATTTGAATTTACTTAAAGCAACCTCCCATATCCTTTTTTTTTTCTGGTGGGGGGGCAGCACTGAGAGATGTGTGGGATCTTAGTTCCCTGACCAGGGACTGAACCCATGCCCCCTGCATTGGAAGTGTGTAGTCTTAACCACTGCACCACCGGGGAAATCCCTCCCCTCATATCCTTAATGTGAGTATATATGCACTTTGTGAAACAAATCAACCAAGTTCAGTTCTCCTAACTCATTCGAGTACATTTTGTCTCATTCCCTTCACCATTACTGGAAGCCATCTCTTCAGTTCAAAATTCAAGTTGGACAGGAAGGGGAAACATCAAAGTTTCTAAAAATAACTTTGGTTTACCTATCATAAAAGGCATGGGTGGTTTTGAATTCCAGTAGTAATAAGAGAACAAAGTGCTTAATGAATCCCAGTACCTTTATTTTGAATCATAAATTCCTGGGTGACTAAAATTCCTAGAGTTAAAATTAAATTGGGGAGGGGCTGACTACCAGAAAATAAACACCTACTTTATGAATACAATAGCAACAGAAAGGGTTTCCAATTTTTAGAAGAAAAATAACATGAAGCAGCACCACCTGGTGGGTGTTACAAGATGAAATGCCCACATTGACTGTTCTGAGAGCCCCCATCGCACTGCAGATGTTTCATCAAGGACAGCTGCCATCAGAGCTGCTGCAAGGCCATGCTTCTCACTGCAGCTAGCCTCACAGTCAGCTCCTCAAACAGAAGACTGAAATAATACATCATTCCTGTTTTAGAAGCTTTTGGTGTACAGAACTTCTCGATGTGGATTAACACAGCCTTGCTTCTTGAATTTAAGGAATGCCATGAACCAATCTATTAATTTGTCTGTGGTACAGTCTGCCAGAGTGCTCTGCGAAGAATCTTTTTTTCCATTCCTACCATGGCTGGGTGAGAGGAGAGGAAAGGGTGGAAAGGGGCCAGTGTACTAATAGGCAATTCAGGTGATGCTCTGTGCTCCATTTCCTTTCTGTAGGCATTTCTTTTGGCAGCTGCAGCAGCTTGATGGGGGGAGGAAGAGGCAGCCCACCAATCACCTCTTCTTGAAGCCATATTTTTTGCGTTCATAGAAGAGATCTGTCTTAGAGCT